ACTATTTTCAAATACTTATTTTTATCATTATTTTCAATTCATGTTAAATGCTTTCCAATTACATGTTGGTTTTTCCCGAATGATACACATATTTTTTAACTAGATGAACATTTATTTACATTTGATAACCCTTTTTAAAAAATAGCACAAACACATCTTTTGAAAAGTGTGAACATTCATTTAAAATGTCACATACATTTTTTGGAATGGTAATAGACATGTTTTTAAAATATCATGAACATTGAGTACCATGAACGTTTTTTAATAGTTGTGTGGGTATTTTTTTTAGCACAGCATAAACGTGTGCTAACACTACATAAACATTTGGTTAAACACTACAGAAACAATTGAAATATAAATATTTATATTTTAAAATATTTCGGAAGATAAATAAATAACAGAAATGAAAAAGAAAAAAATTGAAACAAACGAACGATCGAGGGGAAGCTAAGAAGAAGAACGTTTCCTGGGCTGGCCCATTTATCACAGCAAGGTAGGCAAGTGTACTGAGCGGCACATAGATGCGCCCTACATAGCGCACCCTTTGCCCTTCAGTAGACTTTCTAAGTGCCGGCCCCATTAAGCTCTCGAGCGAAAACTCCCTCTTGGAATTGGAAAGCTCCTGGAAGGTATAGGCCAGCTTTTTGTTGTCGTTTATTACTCCGTGTTTGTTTTCTCACCTAGTTTTAATATTCACCGTTTCCTTTTTTTCAAAACTAGTGATCATTTTCAAATTTATTTTCTCAAAGTTTGTGTTTTTCTTACAAATTTACGCATATCTTTCAAATTTATGATTTTTAAAAACAAATGATGAATTTTCCCCACATTTTTGAATATTTTTAACAATTCATAAACTTTTTCAAATTCTTGATCTTTAAAATTTAAATTTCAAGAATGTTTAGAAAAATCTTGAACTTCTTTTAAATTCTTGCAAAATTTTATATCACTGAACTTTTTAAATCTGACAAAAAACTGATAGTCGGTTTTTAAAAAGAGTAGTTGTTGGTTTTTTTCGAGAATAACCAGAAAAAAGAGGCAAGCGTACATCAACCAGACAAGGAACCGAGTGTGTGTAAAGCGCAAAACCGAGCGTGCTTGTGAACGCTGATGTGCCAACTAGCGCCATAAGCATTGTAGAGGAGCTCTCCTGCCATTTGTTGCGTCAAAATAGGTGGGAAAACGCATAGGGACCACCCGAGCGTAAATCAGCCAGACAAGGTACTGAGCGTGTGTAAAGCCCAAAACTGGCTGGCCCAACTGAGCGTGCTTGTGAACACTGATGCGCCAACTAAGCACTGTAGAGGAGCTCTCCTGCTATTTGTTGCGTCAAATAGGTGGAAAAACACATAGGGACCATCGCTGGCCGGTCAATTCCTATCATACTGTACAAACCCGGTAGCGAGTAAAGATTTTTCGATGTCGTACAGTTGAAGCGGTTTTTTTGCTTTCAATCAGGGTTTTTCATTATAGCTTCTTGAAAAATATTGAAAAACTTATTTATTTTAAAAATATCGAATTTTGATATTTTTACAAAATCCAAACACTCTTTAAACATGAATGTTTCCAAAATTTTGAACATTTTTTGAATTTTTTTGAAACTTCCCCAAAACAAAATTATTTTTTGAAAACACAAATCTTTTTTAATTGTGAAAACATTAAAAGAAATATTTTTTAAATTATCCATTTTTTAATATTCGAATATGGTTTTGAACAAAAAATTTTGGACATTTTGTGTAGAACCTGAAAAGGACAAAAGAAAACAAAGTAATAAAACTGTGAAAAACAAACAGAAAAAGAAAACCTGTAGTGAGGCGGAAGAACACATTGCCTCAGTGCCCCGATGCCGGAAGCCGGCCTGATAGGCCGGTCCAAGGCCCCCTAGGTCGGCTTCTCCTGGGCCATCACCCCAACCCATGGATCTGAGAAGGGCCCGAAGGACTATTAGCGTACGACAAGGCAACCGGCGTCCAGGAGGGCTCCTCCAACTAACTAGGATCGTGTAACCCTAGACCCCGATACCCATATAGGTTGCGGGTAGGTTAGTCGATAGACACAAAACCTTAGAACAATTGCTCAATCCATCGATCATTGTAACCCCTATACATAAGCAATATGCACGAGCAGGGAGTGCAATTTAACCTCCTCCGCAAGGGCCTGAACCTGGATAAACCCCTTCTTATTTCCCATTCATTTTAATCATCCGGCCAGAGTACCTTATCAAGTGATCTGCTGGAAATAAATCTAAAACCCTCATAAATGGGTTAGGGCCAGGCGAAAGTGAAGGTGTGCGCCTAGCTGGCGAAGCGTGCACACTCATCTATGACCTTCAATCTAAGGATGCCATTTACTCTGTAGCGAGCCCATGGTACATCTGGGTTGGAACGCTGCTTAGGAAATCTAGACTTAATTTGCAGGCAATCCAAGATGGGATCTATAGGCAACTGTGAATTCCATCACAGTCACTATCAGTTCATCGTTGGTTCGATTCCTACTAGAAAATTGGATCAACGATCCTGGATGGATATGTCCATTGCTAAAAATCGTGGCTGTTGAGAGTCTCGGTATGGCCTGTAGCTAGAGGACACCGACACCCCTCACGTCCTCTACCCGCACCACACAAACCCAGCTTATCCAACTCCACTTGCTTTAAGGTTTATGTGCAATAGAAGTAGTGTTAAAACCAACCACCATGCTCTTGAACCTATGAAATCAATAGTCAATTCCGTTGGGTTGCCTATGTGATATTAAATTTATATACAACATGCTTGATCTATAAAGTTGATAACACTTACTAAGAATATTTCAAAATACAATGTTTGGTGCTTCACAATCTATTACAAAGTTGTATTCACCCATCCAATGCAAAAAAAGTTATGTGAATGATGTTAACATAATAGCAAGTAGAGAGAGAGAGAGAGAGAGAGATTAATTCCTGATGACCATCATAGGTCCATTATAGTACACCTAGGACTGCCTGAACCTGAATAAACCCCTTCTTATTTCTGAAACGGTATAATCTTCCGACCAGAGTACCTTATCAAGTGATCTGCCGAAAATTACTCCACCACCTCATGAATGGGCTAGGGCTAGGTTTTATTTTTATTTTTATTTTCTCCTTTTCTAGTATTTTGTTTATACTTATGTTTATATTTAAATATATTGTAAATACATATATTTCTAAAAATTCTTCATTAATTATTAATAACATTCATCATGCTAGAAAAAAGGTCATGAAACGTAATAATTTGTCACCCAATTAGAGAAATTGTTCATATCATTCAAAATAATGCTCGTATCATTTATAAAATGTTTGCACATTAAAAAATATGTGTTATTTTTAAAAATGTTTATTAAATATATAAAAATTACTAGTGTAATTTAAAAAAATGTTCATACCATTCTAAACATGTCCAGGCATTTTATTTTTATGTTTGCGGTACTTTTTAGTAAATTCTCTTGAAATAGAAACTTTCTAGCCATTTTTTTCAAAGTTTATAACATACAAAAATGTTTGTAAAATTTACAAAAATGTTCATAAACACATACGAAATGTTTGCGCACATTTACGAATATCTGGATGTCTTAATTTTTTAAAAAGTATCTATTAAATTTACAAAAATGTTCCTAATAGTAACGCTCTTACAAAAATTTGTGAAGATAAAAATGTCTGTAAAATTAAAAAAATGTTCGTAATATAAATGTTTTCACAATTTTTTTGAAAGTTTGGAAGTTGGTTTCTGATTTATTTTTTCGAAACTTTGAGCTCCATGGAGATCGGGATCCAAAAATCCACTCTCTACCAACTATATGCATGTATCTTGTAGCAAGCCACAAGCAGGGTTGCTACATGATCAATTGCTCACTAGGTAGTGTGTTCTCTTCATTTTGGGCAGATCACGAGTGTTTGACATCTCTCTCTACATTAGTTATCCTTTTCAACTTGAATTTTAAGATGTGCAGAATGTGCTTTCCTTGTTATTCCCTCGTCATTCTAGCATGGATCCAAAGCAAAACTGAAATTACTAGCCTTAAAAAATGTCTCGCTATCTATGTTCATAACATGCCCATTGGACTGCATGGTGAAAGTGAAGGTGTGAGCCCTGGCTGGCGGAGCTGCCAAACTCGTCTGTGTCCTCCGATCTAAGGATGACATTTACTCTGTAGCAAGCCCATGATGCATGTGGGTTGGAACCCTGCTTAGGAAATCTGGACTTAATTTGCAGGCAAGCCAAGATGAGATCTTTAGGCCCATGTGAATTCCATCACAATCACTAACAGTTCAACACTAGTTCAAATCCTAATAAAAAATTGGATCAGTGGTCCTGGATGGATATCTCAATCGCTGAAAACCGCAGTTGTTGAGAGACTCGGTACGACCTGGAGCTAGAGGATGCCGACACCCCTCACTTCCTCTACCCACACTAAACAAACCCTAGCTTATCCAACTCAAATTTCTTTAAGATTTGTGTGCAAAAGAAGTAGTGTTAAAACCAAACACCATGCTCTTGAACGTGAGAAGTCAATACTCAATTGACCTATGGATATTAAATCTATCTACACCATGCTTGATCTATAAAGTTGATAATACTTACTAAACATATTTTAAATTACAATGTTTGGTGCTTGACAGTCTGTTACAAAATTGTTGTTCACCCATCCATTGCAACAAAAAGTATGTGAATGATGTTAATGCAATAACGAGAGAGAGAGAGGGGGGGGGGGGAGAGAGATTAAAGTCCATTTTTTCCGCATGACCATCATAGGTCCACGATCAGTAACAAAGAGACAATGAAAATATGGATAGAAATAAGTATTTAGTCTGTAAATGGTAGGTGACAAATCTAGCCACAAAATTGTGCAAGCAACCCACTAGTTTTATTGAATATTAAAATAACACCGGTGATTTATAAAACATAAAAAATATGATCTCATCCACACATCATTATTTTGAGAACCATAAGGTTGATATTTATCCACCCAAAATAGGGGAGATAACAGAACTATTGTGTTGTTGCTGCTGCTGGTGTGCAATTAATCTTGCAGGGACAGTTGATGAAGCATTCTCCAAGATTTGGCCAGCACAAGTTATCTATTTTACAGCAGAATTCCCATCCAGGGAGCTGGTGCCCATCTTTATAACAAGGGGGTCTCGTTACATGGCTTACTTTGCTCATCATATTGCTCCCCTTGTCGTTTATGATTCCACCTAATTAACACAAAATAAAGAATAGACTTATCATCTCATCATATAAACAATAAAATTCCACAATCTATATCCTCCCAAAAATTGAGTTGTTAATTACCATATGTGCCTCCAAGACAAGTCAAACACACCACAAGAAGAGAAAAAAGTAGCACAACTCCTTGCACATTGTTCCTCATGTACTTGGTCATCATCACCGAGGAACAGAGGCCATTAATGGTTCGTACTCTTGTAAGTGGGGTTGATGAGTGTTATGACCGTGAAGTGCTTGTTCGATGAATGGTTCATATATATAGGAAAAGCTTCTTCGTGTTGATGCATGAAGTTACTGAAAATATTAATGCTTGGAGTTATGACTAGTCTGAATGTCCAATTTTAGTTTCACTTCTAAAGATGCATGGTTCCTTCCTTTTTAAAAAAAAAATTGATGCTTTGTCATATGGCGTAAGTTACTTTAGTGCCCTTCTAGAATTGACCGCTTGTTTTTAGGGGTATAATTGACAGCTTATAATGGGTATCTAAAAACTGGTGCATGGCAATATTATGCTTAAGGCATTGATAATAATTGGTATAATATCAATAATTCCTATATATATGATGCCTTATCTGTATAATTATTAATTTCTCCCTTGGTATAAGAGAACAAAAGTTAAAATCCACTAAGAATGGTCTGCTTAACATTGGACTTGTTTTTTTATGTGAGCAACTGTTCTCAAGTATATCAACAATTTCCAAATACATTTTTTATTTTTTTATCGCATGAACACACATTAATTATGGGATGGCCATTTTATAAATATAAGATGATGATTTATTGTCATATACATGAATAGTTTATATCGAGGTACTTGAGCATTTTTTATTTTTTTATACATAGTTTTCTCTCTCCAATATTAAGTTGGTTTTGATTTTTAAAATAGATTAGTTTCCCCGAAATTTTCTTTTTTTAGAATAGTGAAAATGCCGCGCCGGCCCAGCTAGGGTAAATTTCATTAGGCGGAGCTTCCCGATTCTTGGGACTCCCTATACGCTGCTCCTTGCGGCTGAGTGCTGACAACCTCCCCTTCGCACAATGCGTGCCCGACTGGGCCGGCACATCGACACCACGAGTGGACACCAGGGAGCGGGAGAGTAGGCGCTGGCCTGATCCACTTTGGCGACCGTTTTTAAATTTTGAAACATTTTTTTGAAAATGAATAAGCATTGAAAAATGCAATGATATTTTGAATTTTTTTTCTAATTTTTGTTTTTTTCTAAAAGCCATTTTTTGGAATTTAATACATTTGTCGAAAATTCTGAACATTATTTGCAAACTATGACCTTTTCCTAGAAAACCAACAATTTACGAAAAATGCGATAGTTTATAATTTGTAGAACGTTTAAAAAAATCTGATTTCTTTGATAACACAAACACCTTTTGAAATTCCGAACAAAATATGAGAATGGGAATATTTTGTGAAAACTTGAACATTTCTTAAATTTAAATTTGAAGTGAAATTTCCAAAAATATATTAAAAAGGAGACTTTTTGAAAAAGTAAATAAGAAAATAAAACAAGAAAAGAAACAAAGATAAAAATAAAAAGAACCCAAAGAAAACCAGTAAAAGAAACATAAGGAAAAAGAACAAACGAAAACACTAGTAAAAATCGGATCAAAACCTTCTGGAAGGTTCCCAAAGTCGACAAAAGCCCGAAGGAACATTGTGGAACGTTCATACAACCAGAGTGGCGCGGCTAAAATGGGTCGGCTCTTCCTAAGCGCTAGCGTTAGTTCTCTATACAAGGCCCGGCATTTTACGTCGAATGCTAAAATAGGGTTTACGCCATTCTCCAAAAAATGTGCACCTTTTTGAATATTTTGAACAATTTTTAAAATTGAACATTTTTGTAAAAATACGAACAAGAATTTTGTACATTCTTTCAAAAAACAAACACTTTTTTAAATTCTAATCATTTTTTGAAAATTATAACAATGTTTTGATAAACCGACAATTTATGAAATGTGCAAATAGTTTTTAAATGTGCAAATAGCCTCTCCAAAGTATGATGGCTCCTTCTCCATGTGATCTGTACCGATGGACTTGGTTTGCAAAGGAAATTCTTCTTCGTCTTCAGCACATAGTGAAAGATAAAAGTCTACTCTCGAGTCCAGAAGGGACGCTTCACCAAAGACGAGTCTCTGACCGAACTCTGAGAACTCCTTGGAGTTCATATCAGCAACAGACTTGGCCTTCTCCTTTTCCTTTCTAGTAACTGACTGCGTGCTTGTTGATGGAGAGCCTCCCGGTAATGGCTTCCCCTCCAACAAAACTTTGGAACAGGGCTTAGCTGGGATCTCTTTGGAACAAAGGCTTGCAGCGGTGACAAAATTCTTCTAGAGGTACGACAGATGGTTTCTAATGAAGAAGCTCCATTTATTGGGCTGGACCACTTATGACAGTGATGAAGCGGCACGTAGACGCGCCCTAGACAGCGCACCCTTTTCCCTTGGGTAGACTTTCTATGTGGCGGGACCGTTTAAGCTCTCGAGCGAAAACTCCCTCTCGGTTTTGAGAAGCTTCTAGAAGTTATAGGCATGCTTTTTTCTGCCATTTATTACTCGGTGTGTGTTTTCTCACTCGGTTTTAATTTTATTTTTCCAAAAATAATGAACATTTTCAAATTTATTATTTAAAAATTATAATTTTCAAAATTCATGAACATCTTACAAAATTTTGTTTTTAAAAATATCGTGAACTTTACCCACATTTTATTTACTTTTTTAAAATTCATAAGCTATCCTAAATTCTTCAAATTTTTAGAAATTCATAAGTTTTTAAAGTTCTTGAACATTTAGAAAGTTCATGAACATCTTTAAAATTCTAGGATTTTTTTCATTTCATTGATCTTTTAAAATTTGTCAGGAACCTGATAGTTGATTTTTAAAATGAGGTGTTGTTGTTTTTATAGAAGAACCAGAAAAAAAAGGTGAGCATACAGTAGCCAGACGAGAAACCGAGCGTGTGTAAAGCGCTAAACTACGCTGCCCCAACAGAATGTGCTTGTGAGCGTTGATGCACCAACCAGCGCCATAAGCATGGTAGAGGAGAGCTCCTGCAATTTGTTGCACCAAATAGGTGGGAATACACACATAGGGACAGGTGCTGGTCGGCCCATTCATGTCATACTGTACAAACCCGGTAGCGAGCAATACTTTTTTCGGTGTTGTACACTTTCAAACGGTTTTTTCATTTAAATTGGGGGTTTTCGTTGTCGTATTTTGAAAAACATTAGAAAAGCTTATTTATTAAAAGTTAAGCACTGAATTTTGCAATAATTTTGAAAATCTGAACATTTTTTAAACATGAATGTTTTTCATAATTCTGACCATTTTTCAATTTTCAAACTTTTTTTCAAAATACGAATATATTTTAACAACACAAAAAAATTATGAAAAGCATTAACAGAAACAATTTAAAATTACTCAAATATTTAACAAACGTGAATTGTTTTGAACATTTTGTGAAAACTCCTGAAAAGGAAAAAAGAAAACAAACAAGTAAAGCCAGCAAAAAGACTAAAGGATATGAATCCTTAATGCCTCATAATAATGCACGACTATTTTTTATGCATTATTCATCAAATCAAAAATGCCTTTCATGCATGTGTGCCCCTGTATTGTGGCCTAGGGATCCCTCATCATGCAGGAAGCTGGCCTGGTAGGCCGGCCAGGGCTTCCTATGGTCGGCTTCTCCAGGGCCATCACCCCGGCCCATGGATCCATTTAGAGAAAGGCCTAGAGTATTTGGAGCGGGTGACAGGGCGACCGGCGTCCAGGAGGACTCCTCCAACAATCAACTACGATAGTTTAATCCTAGACCCCGATCCCTATATATGTTGCGACTAGATTAGTAAATAGACGCAGAACCTTAAAGCCATTGCTCAATCCATCAATCATTGTAACGCCTATACATAAGCAACATACATGAGTAGGCGGTAGGATTTTACCTCATCCGTGAGGGTCTGAAGCTGAATAAACCCTTTCTTATTTCCCATTTGGTTTAATCATCCGGCCAGAATACCTTATCAATTGATCTGCCGAAAATAACTCCACCACTTCATAAATGGGCTAGGGCCAGGTAACACTTTTTTCTCCCGTTTTATTATTTTGTTTCTAGTTCCGTCTATATTTAAAAATATTGTAAATACATATATCTTGAAATATTCTTCATCAATTATTAATAACATTCACCGTGCTTGGAAAAATGGTCATGAAATGTAATTATTTGTTCGCACAATTTGTGAAATTCTTCATATCATTCAAAAGAATATTTGTATCATTTTCAAAATGTTCACATGTTTCAAAAAATGTGTTATTTTTTTAAAAGTGTTTATTAAAAATATAAAAAAATGTCAGTGTAATATGTAAAAAAATATACAATTCAAAAAAATGCTGGCTCTTTAAAAATGTTCAAACATTTGAATTTTATGTTAGTAGTATTTTTACTATTGAAATAAAAAAAATTGACAATTGTTTTAAAATTTTATAACATATAAAATGTTTGGAAAATTTCCAAATATGTTCATAAACACTTACAAAATATTTTGCACTTTTAAGAATATGTTGATGTCTTAATTTTGTTGAAAACTATCTATGAAATTTACAAAAATGTTCCTAATAGAAATGCTATTACAAAACTTTATGAATAGGAAATGTGTATAAAATTTAGAAAATGTTCCTAATAGAAATGTTTTCACAACTTCTTGAAACTTCATAAGTTGGTTCCTATTTTTTTTCCAAAAATTTGAGCTCCATGGAGCTCGGGATCCAAAAATCCACTCTCTACCAACTATATGCATGTGTCTTGTAGCAAGCCATGAGCCGAGGGTTGCTACATGATTAATTGCTGACTGGGTAGCTCACGAGTGTTTGACATCTCTCTCTCTCTCTACATTGGGTATCCTTTCACACTTGAATTTTAAGATGCACGGAATGTGCTTTCCTTGTTGTTGCCTCGTCATTACAACGTGGAATCAAAGCAAAACTGATATTACTAAAAATAACTATACTAAACTAAAAACAAAGAAAACTTTTTTGCATGATTCAAATGAAAAATCTTTCTCAACGATTCCTATTCTACTAACAAGAGTAGACATGCAAAATGTATTTGTTACTGAAGAGAAAACCGTTCCATCTATGTATGTTCTTAACATGCCCATTGGACTGCATGGCGAAAGTGAAGGAGCGCGCCTAGCTGGCGGAGCAGATACACTCATCTGTGAACTCCGATCTAAGTATGACATATACTCTGTAGCGAGTCCACGGTGCATGTGGGTTAGAATGCTGCTTAGCAAATGTAGACTTAATTTGCAGGCAAGCCAAGATGAAATCTTGTAGGCCCATGTGAATTCCATCATAATCATTATCAGTTCAACTCTGATTCGAATCCTAATAAAAAATTGGGTCAGCGGTCCTAGATGGATATGTCCATCGCTAAACATCGCAGTAGTTGATAGAGTCGATATGCCCTGTAGCTAGAGGACGCCGACACCCTCACTTCCTCTACATGCACTAAACAAACCCTAGCTTATCCAACTCAATTTGCTTTATGGTTTGTGTGCAAAAGAAGAAGCGTTAAAACCAAACACCATGCTCTTGAACCTGGGAAACCAATAGTCAATTTACCTATTGATATTAAATCTATATATACCATGCTTGATCTGTCTAGCTGTAAACATATTTTAAATTACAATGTTTGGTGCTTCATAGCCTGTTATGAAACTATTGTTCACCCAGCCAATCTAACAAAAAGTATGTGAATGATAATAACACAATAACGAGTAGAGAGAGAGAGAGAGAGATTAAAGTGTATTTTTCATGATGTCCAACATAGGTCCACGATCAGTACACCTAGGAGGAGACAATCAAAATATGGACAGAAAATAAATATTTAATATGTAAATGGTAGGTGACAAATCTAGCCACACAATTGTGCAAACAACCCATCGGCTAGTTTTATTGAATATTAAAATAACATATTTCATTTCTAAAACATACAAAATTTATGATCTCATCAGCACATAATTTTTTTGAGAACCATAAGGTTGGGATTTATCCACCCAAAATAGGGGTGATAACGAAACTATTGTGTTGCTGCTGCTGCTGGTGTGCAATTAATCTTGCATGGACAGTTGATGAAGCATTCTCCGAGATTTGCCCAGCACAAGTTATCTATTTTACAGCAGAATTCTCGTCCGGGGAGTTGGTGCCCATCTTTATAACAAGGGGGTCTCGTTACATGGCTTACTTTCCTCATCATGTTGCTCCGCTTGTCATTTATGATTTCACCTAATTAACATAAAATAAAGAATACACTTATCATCTCATCATATAAACAATAAAAGTCCACAATCTCAATCGCCCCATAAAAATTGAGTTGTTAATTACCATATGTGCCTCCAAGACAAGTCAAACACACCACAAGAAGAAAAGAAAGTAGCACAAGTCCTTGCACATTGTTCCTCATGTACTTGGTCATCATCGCCGGGGAACAGAGGCTATTAATGGGTGGTACTCTTGTATGTGGAGTTGATGAGTGTATGACCGTGAAATGCTTGCTCCATGAATGGTTCATATATATATAGTGAAAGCTTCTCCACGTTGATGTGTGAAGTTGAAGAAAATATTAATGCTTGGAGTTATGGCTTGTCGGAATGTCCAGTTTTAGTTTCACTTCTAAAGATTCATGGTTCCTTCTAAAGTTTTTTTTTCAAATTGATGCTTTGTCATATCGTGTAAGTTACTTTAATGCCCCATCTAGAATTGATCGCTTATTGTTTCCGAGGGGTAGAATTGACCTATTATAATGGGTAGTAAAAAACCGGTGCATGTTAATATTATATTTAAGGCATTGATAATAATTGGCATAGTATCAATAATTCCTATATATATGATGCCTTATCTATATAATTATTAATTTTTCTCTTGGTATAAGAGAACAAAATTTAAAATTCACCAAGACTCGTCCACTTATCATTGGACTTGCTTTTTTTAATGTATATAAGAAACTGTTCTTAAGTATATGAACAATTTACATGTACATTTTTTTTACTTTTTTGCATGAACATAGATTAATTATGGGATGGCCATTTTTTAAATATAAGTTGACGATATATTGTCATATACATGAACATTTTATATCGAGGTACTTGAGCAATTTTTTTCATTTTTCTATACACAAATATTTCTCCAATATTAAGTCGATTTTGATTTTGTAAGTAGATTAGATTCCCTGAAACTGTCTCTATTAGAATAGTAAAAATTTCGCGTTGGCCCGGCTAGGGCAAATTTCGTTAGGCGGAGCTTCCCAATTCTCAGGACTCCCTATACGCTCCTCCTTGCGGCTAACAACCTCCCCTTCGCACAACGCGCGCCTGACTGGCACGACCCATTGACGATAGGACTGGACATCAACGAGCGGGAGAGTAGGCACTGACCCGGCCCACTTTAGCATCATTTTTTTATTTTTAAAACATTTCTTTGGAAAATGAACAAGCATTGATTAATGTGACATATTTTAAAAACTTTTGAACATTTTCGAAAATTTAAAATATCTTAAAACACCAATTATTTTTGGAATTTCGTATATTTTTCTAAAAAATGAACACTTTTGAAAATTTTGAACATTATTTGCAAACTATGACCCTTTCTTGGAAAACCAACAATTAATGAAAAACGTGATAGTTTTATAATTTGTACAACATTTTTAGAAATTATGAATTTTTAGAAAAACAATTTTTGAAATTCCAAACAGAACATGAGAATGGGAACATTTTTTTGAAAACTAGAACATTTTGAAAATTTCAATTATTTTTGAAATGTCCGAACATTTTCAAAAAGGAGACTTTTTGAAAAAGAAAATAAGAAAAATAAACAAGATAAAACAAAGATAAAAAAGAATCCAAAGAAAACCGGTAAAAGAAATAGAAGGAAAAAAGAACAAACAAAAATACGAGTAAAAATCATATCAGAACCTTTTGGAAGGTTCCCAAAATTGGTAAAAGCCCGGAAGGAATATTCTGAAAGTTCGTAAAACTTGAGCGGCGCGGCCAAAATGGCTGGGCCGTTCCCGAGCGCTAGAGTTAGTTCTGTGTGCAAGCGCCCACAATTTGACGTTAAATGCTCAAATAGGGTTTCCGCCATTTCTCTTGTTTCTTGTTGCCTCATATGAGTTTGTTGTTGTTTGGTTCATATCTGGGTTGAAGCCCCAATCACACCCCACCCACCGTTTTGTGCCCTTACGCGAGTGGCCTTCCTAGAGATGTCATGACGTCAGTGTCGACGCCTTCCCTCTCCCCCGTACGAGCCCCTTACAATTGACGCTCTTGGCTGCAATCGCGTTTCCCTTCGACCTCACAGCGTTCCTGCAAATTGTCCAAGTGTTTTGGGGTATATACTCCTTGGAGCTTTCTGGCATCAAGATTAGTTAGACCTCACCTCATCTGGATTAACTTTGCTGAGAAGACTTTGGATATAGTGAGACCTCTGGTTTGAAATTGATAAGTTGCCACCAAGTCAAGCTGTCCAAGTTTGATCTATGCACATCAACTCATTACTTACTCAACTTATTTCCTTACATATCAATGTATGACCCAGCTTTAGCATCGAGATGCCAAAAAGGCAAAGAGGGACTAAACGACCCAAGGTGGTAGCCCTAGTCCTCCTCCTCCATGGACTCCTCCGAGTCATTGTCACTGTCCTCCTAGTGCTCCTCATGAACGTCCTCATCCTCGCCATCGGCACCATGGAAACCAGACGTAGTAGCGTTGGAGTCATCGGAGTCTGTCCACTTGTTGCGTCTGCCCAATCCACCTATCCTCTGAGGTCATCTTCTTCTCAGAGCCACTCTGCACCTCAATCTCAAGGTTCCTATAATCATGGTGACCTGGCACTGCCGGGCAATCTTCTCAGCCACATGTGCCTTGTACATATTCTTCTGAGTATCCACCTGAATGCAGAAGAGCTTCCTCATCTTCTTCTTGAGTTTGATGTCCCAAGTAGGCCGATCCGATGGTGGTACATAGTCAGGCTCCTTAGATCCATCAGACTTTGCTCCTGGAATATTGATCTCTGGTGCATCTGGCACAACTCCCCAGTTCTCCTTTTGCCTGAGCTTCATCACATCATGAGTGGCAAGCTTGCCAGTCTCTAGGCGCTCATCTAGAACCTGAGTCGCCCAAGTAGTAGTGATGAGCTTGAAGAGATAGGACCCATAGATGGGGACCTTCCTATCATACATAGCAACAGTGAGCTCATACCACATCACATGTCAAACGTCTAGCATGCTAGTCTTGTTCTTTGCTACTTGTGAGTTGCGTTGGGATTTCCCCGAAGAGGAGAGGATGATGCAGTATAGTAGAGATAATTATTTCCCTCAGTTAAGAACATAGATTATCAATCCAGTAGGACAACCACATAAAACCTCGTGAACAACACATACGCACAAAAGAGCAAATACTTGCACCCAACACAAACAAGGGGTTGTCAATCCCTTGGCGGTTAATTGCAAGAATCAAGTCTGATAATGATAGATAGCTAAACAAAAACATAAAATAAAAATAAAGGTAAATAAATTGCAACAATGTATTTTTGGATTTTAATATATGATAAAAATAGACCCCAATCCCTAAATATGTTGCGACTAGATTAGTAAATAGACATAGAACCTTAGAGCTATTGCTCAATCCATCAATCATTGTAACGCCTATACACAAGCAATATACATGAGCAGGGGTAGGATTTTACCATGCGTGAGGGTCTGAAACTAGATAAACCCCTTCTTACTTCCCATTTGGTTTAATCGTCTGGCCAGAATACCTTATCAAGTGATCTGCCAAAAATAACACCACCACCTCATAAATGGGCTAGGGTCAGGTAAGACATTTTTTCTCCCTTTTTGTTATTTTGTTTCTACTTCCGTCTATTTTGAAAAATATTTTAAATACATATATTTTGGAATATTCTTCATCAATTATTAATAACATTCACCATGCTTGGAAAAATGGTCATGAAATGTAATTATTTGTTTTCACAATTTGATAAATTCTTCGTATCATTCAAAAGAATATTTGTATCATTCTCAAAATGTTCGCATGTTTGAAAAAATGTTCGCATGTCAGTGTAATTTGTAAAAAAAATACCATTCCAAAAAACCGTTTCCACTTTAAAAATGTTCAAACATTTGAATTTTATGTTAGTGGTATTTTTAATTTTGAAATCGAAAAAATTGACAATTTTTATAAAATTTTATAACATATAAAAATGTTTGTAAAATTTCCAAATATGTTCATAAACACTTACAAAATATTTTTCACTTTTACGAATATGTTGATGTCTTAATTTTTTGAAAACTATCTGTGAAATTTACAAAAATGTTCCTAATAGAAATGATATTACAAAAAATATGAATATCAAATGTGTATAAAATTTACAAAATGTTCCTAATAGAAATGTTTTCACAACTTTTTGAAACTTCAGAAGTTGGTTTATATTTTTTTTTCAAAATTTTGAGCTCCATGGAGCTCGGGATCCAAAAATCCACTCTCTACCAACTATATGCATGTGTCTTGTAGCAAGCCCCGAGCCGAGGGTTGCTACATGATCAATTGCTGACTGGTAGCTCACGAGTGTTTGACATCTCTCTCTACATTGGGTATCCTTTCACACTTGAATTTTAATATGCACGGAATGTGCTTTCCTTGTTGTTGCCTCAGCATTACAGCATAGAATCAAAGCAAAACTGATATTACTGCCCTTAAAAAATGTCTCGCTATCTATGTTCTTAACATGCTCATTGGACTGCATGGCGAAAGTGAAGGTGTGCGCCTAGCTGGTGGTGGAGCAGACACACTCATCTGTGACCTCCAATCTATGTATGACATTTACTCTGTAGCCAGTCCATGGTGCATGTTGGTTGGAACGCTGCTTAGCAAATGTAGACTTAATTTGCAGGCAAGCCATGATGAAATCTGTAGGCCCATGTGAATTCCATCATAATCATGGTCAGCAACTCTGATTTGAATCTTAATAAAAAAGTTGGATCAGCGGTCCTGGATGGATATGTCCATTGCTAGACATCACAGCAGTTGATAGAGTCGATATGACCTGTAGCTAGAGGACGCCGACACCCCTCACTTCCTCTACATGCACTAAACAAACCCTAGCTTATCCAACTCAATTTGCTTTATGGTTTGTGTGCAAAAGAAGAAGTGTTAAAACCGAACACCATGCTCTTGAACCTGAGAAACCAATAGTCAATTTACCTATGGATATTAAATCTATATATACCATGCTTGATCTGTCTTGCTAATAATAGTTACTAAACATATTTTAAATTACAATGTTTGGTGCTTCATAGCCTGTTATGAAACTATTGTTCACCCATCCAATGCAACAAAAACTATGTGAATGATAATAACGCAATAACGAGTAGAGAGAGAGAGAGAGATTAAAGTCCATTTTCCCGATGTCCAACATAGGTCCACGATCATTACACCTAGGAGGAGACAATCAAAATATGGACATAAAATAAATATTTACTATGTAAATGGTAGGTGACAAATCTAGCCACAAAAT